GTCATATTAGCTGGTCTTTCTTGTAGGCGTATGGCTATTATCCTAACACTGACAGCATTGTACTTCAGGATAGATCTTGAAGTGTTCTTTTTGACGATGAATGCAAAGCCATTCCTCTTCTAGGCATAGTAGACCATACGATTGTTCGATTCGAAATGGCCAATACCAGTCCATTTCAGCTCACTAATGCCTAAGATATGAATATTATACATTCTATTTCCTTTTAGACGATTTCCAATTTTCCTAGATTCATACTTCATTCATTCCACGTTCTGATTATTAATGGATGTTTGCAGCTGTTTCTTCTCATTTTGAGTCATGCCACATCAGCAAATGAAGGTCCCAAAAGCTTGACACCATCCACATCATTAAAGTCAACTCTACTTTGAGGAGGCAGCTCTTCCCCATTGTATTTTGAGTGCCTTCCAACCTGAGGGGCTCATCTTCCAGCACTATATCAATGTTCCACCACTATTCGTAAGGTTTTCACTGGCTAATTCTTTTCAAAAGTAGACCTCGAGGTCATTCTTACTAGTCTGTCTTAGTCTGAAAGCTCAGCTGAAACCTGTCGGCCATGAGTGACCCTGCTGGTATTTGAACTCCGGTGGCATAGCTTCCAGCAACACAGAAACATTCAAGCCCCCACAGTGCAACAAATAAACATGATCCAATACATAGCAAATCTCAGAGATTCCACAAGAAAGCTACTAGACCTAATAGAAGTATTCAGGCAAGTGGCAGGGTACAAGATCAACACACAAAAATCAGTTGGCTTCCTCTACATTAACAAGAAGAACACTGAAAAGGAAATCAAGAAAGCAGTACAATTATAATAGTCCCCAAAGGAATAAAATACCTAGAAATAAACCTAACCAGGGATGTAAAAGACTTGTACAATGAAAACTATAAAACAGTACTGCAAGAAACTAAAAGAGATCTACATACATGGAGAAACATTCCATGCTCATGGAACAGAAGACTCAACATTGTGAAAATGTCAGTACTACCCAAAGCGATCTATAGATATAATGCACTCCCAATCTAAATCCCAACAACATTCTTTAATGAAATGGAAAAACTAATCACCAACTTTATGTGGAAAGGAAAAAGGTCCCAGATAGCCAAAGCAACATTGAAGAAGAACAAGAAAGTAGGAGGCCTCACACTTCCCGATCTTAAAACTTACTATACAGCCACAGTAATTAAAACAGCCAGGTACTGGTTCAATAACAGACACATAGACCAGTGGAATATAATCAAGAGCCCAGAAGTAAATCCATCCATCTATGGGCAGCTGATCTTCAACAAAGGGTCAAAGTCCATTCAATGGGAAGAAACAGTCTCTTTAACAAATGGTGCTGGCAAAACTGGATATCCATTTGCAGAAAAATGAAACAGGATCCATACCTCACATACCCAAAAACTAACTAAAAATGGATCAAAGACCTAAATGTTAAAGCTAAAACTATAAAGTTCCTGGAAGATAACACAGGGACAAAACTAGGTGACCCAATTTTCAGCATAAACAGGCTATCAAACAACTACAAATGCATGAACAACAGAAGACACATCAGAAAACTGGGGCCTCCTAAAAATTAAATACTCGTCCTTATCAAAATGCATAACTGAAAGAGTAAAAACAGAACCTACAGACAAGGAAAAAATCTTTGGCAACCACATGTCTGATAACAGTCTAATCTCTAAAATACCTAGAAAACTTCAACAACTCAACAACAAAAACGCAATCAGTCAAAAAATGGGCCAAGAACATGTACAGACACCTCACCAAAGAGGACATTCAAGTGGCTAACAAACAGATGAAAAGATGCTCATAATCATTAGCCATCAGAGAGATGCAAATCATAACTACAGTTAGATTCCATCCCACCCCTGCAAAAATGGCACTGATCAAAAAACAGGACAGAACAAATGCTGGTGAGGCTGTGAGGAGATTGGAACTCTTATACACTGCTGATGGGATTGTAAAATGGTACAAGCACTATGGAAAATGGTAAGGTGCTTCCTCAAAAAGCTAGAAATAGAAATATCATATGATCCCAGAAATCCTACTCATAGGTATATATCTTAGAGTTATAAGAGCAGTGACACAAATAGACATATGCGCATGTATGTTCATTGCAGCATTATTCAAAATAGCAAAAATATGGAAATGACCTAAGTGCCCCTCAGCGGATGAATAGATAAACAAACTGTGGCACATACATATAATGGAATACTACACAACTATAAAGAATGATGATGAATCCGTGAAACATAAAATGGATGAATCTGGAGGGCATCATGCTGAGTGAAATAAGTCAATCACAAAAGGACAAATATTTTATGGCCTCACTTTTATAAAAAGTCAAGAATAGGTGTACACACAGAAAGCAACATTCTTTGATGGTTATCAGGGATGGCAGGGGAAGGGAGATAGTAGACAGTTGTTATTTCTGGTGATGGGAAAGGCAATACCCAATATGGGTGAAATCTGCACAACTTGTCCAAGGTAAATGAAGACAGTAATAAGCACACAAGAATAGGACAATTTTGGGAAATGATATAACATACAATTTTGCACCAACAATAAAAACAACCAAAAAAATATGTCAGTGTTACATAGGTAGACATGTATGCATACATGTGCATAGGCAGGCACATGAGAGTACATGGGTGTGCATATATAGGTGTATCAGTAAGCATATGTACAAACATGTCTGTGTGCTCTGTATATATATTCATATATATAATAAACCTCACAGGGAGCACAGTCACGGATTCTTCCTAGACATAACCAAACACCTCATGGGATTGGTTTACTGGGTTTGAAGGCTTGGGACCATAGTCTTGTGGCACAACTCGGTCAATAGGCATAACAGTTCATAAAGATAATGTTCTTGTCACTGAATAGTACATGTAGAAATTTTTGAAATGGCGTGTCTTTGGATATCTATATTTTCACGAGAAAAGGAAAAAGGTCCTCCAAGGTCGAGAAGGGAGAGTGTTGACATGTTGTGGGTTTGTTAACCAATGTCATAAAACAATATGCGTACTGACTGTGTAATGAAAAACTATTTGTTCTGTAAACCTTCACCTAATGTACAATAAAAAAAAATTTAAAGAGATAATGTTCTACGTTTAAGTTATTTAACAACCATGTGCTCGCTAGGGCCATCTAAAATACAGCTAATGATCGCTACTCGTCTGGAACAAAAGAGAATGAAGGAAACCAAAGAGTCAAAGAAGAAACTAGTCCATAGGACTAATACCCCACATGAACCACAGCCTCATCTAGACTGAAACCAGAAGAACTATACAGTGCCCGGCTACCACCACCCACCATTCTGACCAGGGACACAGTAGAAGGTCCCAAACAGAAAGGGAAAAAAATGTAGAACAAAAGTCAAATTCCTAAAAAAGGCCAGACTTACTGGACTGATAGACTAGAGGAACCCCCGAGACTACTGCCCTAACATACCCCTTGAACTTGGAACTGAAGCCAATCCCAGTTGTTACCTTTCATCGAAATTATAGACTGGCTTATAAAATAAATAGTATCACCCATGGGTGGGTCGGGGGGACTATATACAGTAAATTCTCCTTATTCGCAGTAGTTATGTTCTATAAAGTCTCCGTGAACACTGAATTAGTGAGTACTGAACACTTGCTCCTGGAGGAAATACAGACTTAGGTTCCTTCGAGCCTCTGATCACAACATCTTCACCAACTGATCAATACATAACTTTGTTTTGTGTGTGTTTCTATTTGAAAACACCTTATTTAATAGATATTGTTGATTCAATAGCATTGAACTCATGGCCAACAGCACTGTAACTCATGCCTCAAGGAAGCTTATCTAACACATGTATTTCTCCAGAGGGCACAACACAGCCTTTCAGTGCTTAGGAGTATTAACAGCACCTCAGTTTATACTTGGCGGCCATTTTAAACAACAAAATCATCAACAAAAAGCAACAAAATCATCAACAAAAAGCAAAACAATGCAAAACAGTATTTTTATGCAAATAATGTATGCCTTCTATGTTTGTTTGCCACTTGCACTCTCCCTCCCAACCTCCTCCCTTCCCCCGCCCAGGTATTTTCATAAGTGTGCGATGCTGATTTCTTTTTTACAGCAACATGTAAAAAAATTGGCATAGCGGCACTTAGAAAATACCTGGGGGCCGGCGGGGGCGGGGGGCGGGGTGGCAAACAACCGTAGAAGGCACTTGTTATTTGCAAACAAATATGGTAAATAGACCACAAAACAGACTTTTGTTTACGGTATGAGAGCTGCCTGGCGCAGTTGCCCCTCCACAGCAACTGAAAGGTAAGAAGCCCTGGTGACACAAACGGTTAAGTGCTGGGGTTGCCTTGAATCAGAATTGACTGACGGTAACGAGTTGGTTTTTTGGTTTACGAGCGCGGCAACAAAAAGGTAGAGCGTCACATTGTTTGATTTCAGCTGGGAACAAGTGTATTCGGCAACTCAATTTTTTTGCCACTCTGCTCATGTCTGAAAATAACCATGAAAGCACCTTGAGCATTTATTTTGTGGTTACAAATAAATTTTAGTGAGTAGTCAAATTTGCAAATACAGAATCCTTGAATAATAAGGATTGACTGTGTGTGTGTATATATATACACATATAAACATACGTGGTTTTATATACATGTATGGTATGTGCACACATACATCATACATAAATATATGCACACATATACATATCCATGTTCAATGACCTTATAAAGAAAATTAAAAGTTCCTTTTTTAATTATAATATGAATTTCATTCATCTGGTATTTAATAGGTCCTAAGAATCTCATTGCAATCTTTACCCCTTGTTTCGAGAGTTGCAAGCACATAGTTGTTAAATAACTTAAAATTTTTCCTTGATGTAATCACTATGATTGTTCATCTGCAATAATCCTGATTATATGCTATTTTTAATGAATTCTAAAGTCAATCTGAGTTTCCTATATGTAAAATCTCTTTGCAGATAATTTTGATTACAATTCCTGGCTTTCTTTTAAATTATACCTTAATCCTTTGGTACCTGTCATCTGTGAATAAATTACCTTTGAAGATCATCCCCTCGTTATTATTTTCAATTATCCTTTATAGTTCAGATCCCATGCTGACTGCAGCTGCTATAAGAGACCTTGGTACGTATATCTTTCTCTTTCTGCGTTTCGGGAACCTTATTTTGTAGTCAACTTATCTCAGTTTTGAGATCTTTTGTTAGTTGTAGTTTTTCACTGCGTCAAGCGGGGTGGTGATTGGGAATTGAGCATCGACATTCTGCTGGTGATGCCTCGGGCAGAAGGAGGTGCCGATGATGGGCCTACTTAATATCAAAAACAACTTATGTCTAACTGTGGAATATGATAGGTGACTGTTTGAAATCCTTGACTTTCTGTGTGATTCTACATTGACCAACAGAACAGTTCTGGGGGCACCACAGTGTTCCATATACATTGTGATACTGCTGTTGGTCCACATTTCTTTTCCATTCAAGACACTATTACTAAGATAATGTTGTTGTTGTTGTGTGCCATCGAGTTGATTCTAACTCATAGCAGTCTTTTTCAAGAAAGTTTTTGCCTTTGGAGCGATTGTCACCATTAGAATTGAAAGCCTGGAAAGTAAACAATCAAATCATCAATTACATTGGGTTTTTCAATGCATACTATTGTTGGAGGAATAAATCTACGTTTTTTTTAAAAAGTTAATTCAACCCAGAAAAAAAATTCCAAGAGCTGCATGCAAGAAAAACAATAAACTAATTTGTTTTTCCTCAGTCACTTTTTTTGAAAAGAGAATTAACATTTAGTAAGCACCTAGTAGGTTTCAGACCCTATGCTAGATGCTTCCCTATCTATTATATCATTGGATTCTCATAACTACCCCCAAAATAGGTCCTGTTATTTGCTCTCATTTGACAGTTTCTGAGACTGAGATGTAGAGAGGTTCAGTGACTTAAACAAGGTCATAAGTCAGAAAGTGGTAGAACCAAGATTTCTACCTGTGTTAGTTTAGTTTCCTGGGGCTGCTCTGACAAATCACCACAAGCAGCAGCAGTTTAATCTCTCACAGTTAAGGAGGCCGGCGGTCCCCAGTCAAGGTGTCAGTAGAGCTGGTTGCTCCTGGAGGCTCTGAGGGGAATGCGTTCTATGCTTCTCTCCTAGCTGCTGGTGGCTGACTGCAGCCCTTGGCATTCTTCGGCTTGTAGATGCATCATTCTAGTCTGCCTCCACCTTCACATCGTTTTCTTCGCTCTGTCTCTCTGTGTCCTTTTCTGTCTCTTAGAAGGATACTTTCATTAGATTAAGGGCCCACCCCCTAAATCCAGGATGATGTCATCTCCAGATAATTAATTATACCTTCAAAACCGTATTTCCAAATAAGGTCACATTCTGAGGCTCCAGGTGGACATGACTTGAGGGGACACTGTTCAGCCCACTGTACAACCCATGTCTGTAATTCTCGAAAACCTGTGTGGTGTCCATGGCATCACATAATCCTCCTCCTGTCAAAGCTCAGTTCCTCAGCTCTGCCCTTAGGCTTCTTCCCTCTTGGCTCCAGGTGGCTGTTTACCACTCCCACCCACATTCACTGAAGTGCTTGAATCTTCAGTGTCTCTTCTATCCCCTTCCTGTAAATGATTCAAAATAAAAAAAATCACTTAGTATCCCCCAGCCTAAATTTGTTTTCTTCAGCCAGAGATCTCCCCCTTCCTCTGCCCTGTCACCTCTAAACGTCTGCATCTCCTGCGCTCTGTTCCCTCATTCCTTCGTTCTCTGCTGGCTGTCCTCAGCCTCCACCACTTTGCCTGCTGCAATGACTCTCAAACACCCTGAGCGATCGGAGCCAGCCCTGTGCACTTCCATGTGAACTTTCCACTCAGTAGCTCAGCAACATGCAGCACTCTGGGTCCCAGCTTCCTAGAAACCCTTTCCTGACTCAGCTTCCAGGGAATTGCACTCTTCTGACCATTTTTTTTCTGTCTCCATCTCAGTCACTTTTTAATAATGAGAACTAAAATATTTATTTTAAAATTTTAATACACACACACATGCAGAAACACACATACTATCTCTTTGTCTCTCTCATACATGCACGCATTCTTTTCAGTTTCATTTTATTGCCAATTAATGGGGAAAGAGATATCTGAGGCAAGTAGAAACAGAGTAGGGGAGAGACATCAAGTATAAATATATACAAATAAAGGGAAACCGACTCCCAGGACAGGGGGGCTAAGAGTATGAGGTGAGACTTTAGCAGAAGGAAGTGCCAGCATCCATCATCACCCACCCCTCGATTGTTAACTTCCTCCCCACACTCTGTGTTACCCTATATCCTTGCCTCTGTTTAACTCTGTCAATGGCAACCCCTTTACCACTCAAAAGACGTTTGAGAGAAACTGCAAATCTTACAGCAAGGGACGTGGACACAGGAAGTAGAGGAGAACTGGGCCATCAAGGCAACTGATCTACCACAGAAACTGCCTTGGCTTTTCATCATCACACTTACTGTAGTTAGGTTGTGATCATGGTTATAGAGTGATTGTGTCAAAAACAGGACTTTTAGAAAATTACTAGAGATGTTCAAAGTTACAATTTTGCCACTACATTTAATGGCAGAGGAAAAATTTAGTTACAGGTAACTAAATTTAGAATAGAAGTCCTGGTGGTACTGTGGTTAAGCGCTCAGCTGCTAACCAAAAGGTCAGTTGTTTGAACCCACCAGTGGTTACGCAGGAGAAAAGACCTGTTGATCTGCTCCCATAAAAATTAAAGCCTTGGAAACCCAACGGGGCAGTTTTACAGGGTCACTGGAGTCCTGGTTAAAGCACTCGGCTGCTAACTGAAAGATCAGTGGTTCGAAACCACCGGTGGCTCTGCGGGGGAAAGACATGGCAGTCTGCTTCTGTAAAGATTACAGCCTTGGAAACCTTATGGGGCAGTTCTACTCTGTTCTATAGGGTCGCTATGAGTTGGAATCTATTGAACGGCAGTGGTTTTTTTTTTTTTTTCTTGGTCTATAGGGTCACTATGAGTCAGAATCAACTTGACTGCAAAAGGTTTGATTTTTTTTGGTTTAAATTTAGAATATCATCATAAATGGAGTAAAATGAAGATGAAGTAGATAATATCAGCGTGCTCTCCAGACACAGAGATGGATTTCTAGTACCACTGAATGTATGGGAAAGTCAGACTAGATTATAGCTACATTATCTGGACAGTGACCTTAATAAATTGTTAGCTGCAGTGTTATAAAGCCCTGGTCTGTGAATTTATCCCTCAGTCATTGATTTCTGTCGTGCATTAAATATATCTGACTTATTATTTGTGTATTTATATAGACCAAATCACTGAATTAAAAAAAAATAATTTTATGCTTTCATCTCTGCTTTGAAAAAGGACTGAGAGCTCTAGTTGATTATCTCACTTAAATAAACCATAGTTGACTACAATTAACTTGGCCTTTAATTATGATGGTCTAGACTTCACTTACAGTTGATGTATAATTAAATTTCCTTGAAGGCAGTTTTCAAACTTGACTGATGTTTTTAAGTACGTAGGGGAAATTATATGACATAAATCATCCAGAATTAAGAAGATCCCTCCATTTGCTGATAAGATTTTATTCTTTAATATTGATGATTTTTTTTCTCACTTAAAAAAAAAAATCTTCTTTCCCTCATAGGTCTTTCCAGATCCCTTGCCAATTTAATTAATGGGGAAAGTCTGATGACCTCCATTATATCTTTAATGTTATTTTCTATTATTTTGAAAATGAATATAAACATGCAAGAGAGAGTGAACTATTCCTTAGGTAAGGACCTATTTTTTTCTTAGTTTTTAAAAATCAGAATCCTATATATTCCAAAAGTTCTGGACATGGATTTAATAATATCATACTATAAGTTAAACTTGTAGAAATGTATAGTGTTAGTAATAGTATCGTATAGTAATAGTATAGTGATTTACCTTTTATAATGCACTGTCACACATAACCTTATCTGATATTATTTGTGGTTTTGCTTGTGAGGCTGGGTTGTGACTTTTCATGAGGATGCTTATGGCAGCAGCTCTCCGTGAGCCTAAGCTGAACCAGAATGCTTGACAACAAAGATGAGAAATGTTTTTTATGTGTTAAAGATGAGCCTACAAAATAAGGCAGGTAGTGCCTCCACCAGTAGTGAGAGGAGGTGGCTTCTCTTTCTCTTGTGTGGAGACGATCTCCCTGCAGTCCACATAGACAGCCATCAGTTTCACATCAGAAGGTGGGAGTTCTGTGGCCAGCTACAGGGCCTGAGAGCAACACTTGTGAGCAGAGGGATTGGCAAAAGGCCGGCAAGCTCTTTCCTTTGAACACATTTAGATAGCTTTTTTTTTTTATTTTATTGTGTGTGTATGTGAGTGTGTGTGTGTGTGAAATAAATGATATATGTACACTTTAATGAATGATTATAAAGTATACAGCTGTGAAATTATCACTCAGGACAAGAAATACAGTGTTATCAGCACCTCCAGAAGCATCTCATATGCTCCTCCCTAATCCAAACCCTGTCTTCCTCCTAGAACAATAATTCTCACAGTGAGTTCTCTGAATCCCTAAGAGAGAGGGATCCCCAAGACTCTTTCAGGACATCCATGAAGTCAAAATATTTTCACAATAATAATGATAATAAATTATTTTCTCTTTTTACTCTGTTGACGTTTGTGCTGATTTGGAAAAAGCAATGATTACAATCTTCTTGAGAAAATTTTTAGCATATATATTGTTCAACCGACTGGATGCTGTTTATCTTCTAAAGCCTTCTACAGTCATTGCCTTAGTCCACTTCCTAAAACCCACCCCCCCTCCAAAAAAGAGTGTTTAGGAGGTGCTTCCTGGGCATATTCTAGTCCACCAAGGGGTTTGTATGATGCCAAATAATCCACTATTATGAAGTGGCGTCCCTGGGCAATGTAAACAGTTAAGCGCTCTACTACTAGCCAAAAGGTTGGCAGTTCAAATCCACCTAGCAGCGCCTCAGGAGACGGGTCTGGAAATCTGCTTCCTAAATGTCACAGCCTTGAAAACCCTATGGAACAATTCTACTCTGTCACATGGGATGGCTAGGAGCTGGGATCAATTTGACAGTAACTAACAACCACAATGAGGTGGAATACTTCCATTATCCCTTCTTCCCAGCAGTCAAGAATAAACAGCTTTCCTGAGTTCACCAATTATTACCAGCATGCCATTTCCTATTTTACCATGTCAGTATCCCAGATTATCTTACCAATCACTCAGGAAGAGGGAGTTTTAGCTGTAGTTGTTTTCCCTGTTCCCGGAAGGTGCTTCAGTATTGAGGAACCAGAGACCCTGTTTAACTCTATTCTGACCCATCTTTGCTTTACATGTTCATAACTGATGCCTAAAACTTAGAAATGATGACCATTATTTCCCAAGAAGACTCATTCTGGGGCTTCCACCTCTTTTATCTCTTCCTCCAGGGAGCTCGTCCATGTGCCGGACAGTTGTCCCACTTGGGCATAAGAAGTACTTGCTTTCAGGCTTTGAGGTTTGTGAGCAACAAACTGATGGAGCTCTGTATCCAGTGTCAGTTTACTGAGGCCATAGCAACTTGGAACATCTATGGTAGACCTGGAAACACCACTAAGCACAGGAAAGTGGGTCTTCTTTAAATGCTTCAAGTTTGCCATCTGTGATGTTTGAGAAAGTCAAACAACCACACATACCACCTCTTCCAAAATCCAGGGTACAAAGGGAAGCAACCCAATATGGCACTCAGAGAGCTTCCACCATAAAATGTCCTGCAAATGTGGCCTTCTTGAAGATGACTAAGGTGAGTATCAAAGAGGTATCTATATGCTGAAGCATCTTAAGGGCTCAACGGCCACACCTAGGAGACTTGAAAAGTGAAAAGAAGTATAATCATACTCACCGTTTGGGAAGATTCATGTCCAGCTACTAAACCTGGTCCAAGATTCTACCAGTCCCATTTAAGATATTAAACAACGACCACAGAATTTCACAGAGTCCTGTGTCAGAGATGCCACTGAGTCTAATCAAGAGGACTTTCTTGATACTCATCGGGATGCCAAAAAAAGGAAAAGGAAAAACAAACGGCACTGTTGTGGAAATTCATTGATTCAACTAATAATTTATTCATATGAACTATGTGATAATTCCTATTCTAAGCACTGGGGATTCATCCAAGAGCAAAATAGACAAAGTCTTTGCTTTTATAGAGCTTGCCTTTTAACGTTTATAATAATCAATGGAACAAAACTTTGCATTTGTTCACGTTTTAGAGGGGGTAAAAACTGTCATTAATCACTCTTAAAATAATAGTAATGACTACAATAATAAAACCTCTGCTGGAGGACCGAGAGAAGAATATGCTTATTTTCTTAGCCATTAGGACTTTGAAATTTTAATAGCTTTGAAAGAAAAATTTCCCTTAAGAAGCTTGATAAGCATTGCTGTTATTTCGTTTACATTCCATTTATATCAACGGACACTTTTGTGAATCAATTTTTATAGCAACCTTGTTTTAAAACAACTATTTAAACAGTCTTGCATTTTTTTTTTAATAAGCGTATATTTCATAATAGGGAAAATCTAAGAAAAAAGTATTGCACTCAGGTTCTCATGTTTTTCTACTTGGGTGTTAGTTTAAGAACATTGTAAGAAATAATGGATTTACTTTGAGACTTTTCCTGACCTAAGAAATCTAGCCAGCAAATATTTTACTGATTAAAATCAATTTTCCTTTCGTAAAAGAGAAACAACTTTCAAACCAAAGTCTTCTGACTGCAATTCCCGCTATGCCTCTGATACCAGGGTCAACCTCCATCCTTTGTTTCCATGACAGGAGTTGCTGGGTTCCTTAAATTATTGCCATGGCCAGCTCTGTGCCTAGAAAGCATGTAGCCTAGAGGGTCATTCATGAAACTTTCCTCCCACTTTTCAGATTATCCCTATAGATATGAAGATGTTCCACCTGGCAAATCTAGAAACCATGGCCCTCTTTCAGTCATGGGAATAAGTCTCAGTGAGAAGGAATGTAAATCACCTCCAAACCCGAAAACCAAACCCTTTGTTGTTAAGTCAATTCTGACTCATACCAACCTTAATAGTTCCCTGCCCACCAATGGAAGCTCATGGACAAAGATGTTTAAAAAGTTTCTCTCCCCTTCATTCTGCTACCTTAGAGCACCATTCTAGGGTTTACTCCCCAAACTTAGCCACATTTTTTGTTGTGGTGGTTGTTGTTATTTTTCTGTTGGTCATGCTTTGCTTTGCCATAGCTCTTGCTCTCCCCTTCTCCCAATGACGTTTGCCCTTCAGAATTTCCTGCCCTCAAGATCCACTCTCATATGTGATTCAGACTTTGCTCCTTTGTTCCTGACCTCGTGAAGTTGGGGAAGACATCCACTGGCACGCCTAGCTCCAGCAACCGAGGTTACTGAGGGCCTAGGCTCCCTCTTTCCCTAGGAACGGTGTCATAATGACTCTGTAGAAAGCAATTTGGCAAAATATAACAATACCAGTAAAGGAGCAACTATCTTTTGGTGAAGTAATTCTAATTTTGGAAACCTAAGGAAGTAATCAGAGAAGAACAAAAAGATTTATGTACAGAAATATACACAGCAGGATTGTTTATCAGGGAACAAGAGGAAACAGCAAAATGCCCAACAATAAGGAATCAGTTAAATGAATTACCCGATAAAATTACTCAAGGAACAGAAATTATATGAACTATAAGAAATAGAATATAAAATTGTATATGCCATACTACCTTTGAAAAATAGATGAGAAAGAAACTGTTTCAACTTAGAGATTAAAAATATACTGTATATCTACTACAAAGGCAAGGAGCTATTTTTTTTAATAATTTATTTCTGTTGTTGTTGAAAATATATGCCAATTCAACAACTTCTACATGTACAATTCAGTGACATTGATTGCACTCTTCAAGTTGTGCAACCATTCTCATCCCCCTTTTCCAAATTATTCCTCGGCCGTTAACATAAATTCATTGCCCCCTAAGCTTCCTATCTAACCTTTCTAGTAGCTGTTGTCAATCTGATCCCGTATAGACAGTTCTTTAAAAGAGAACAATGCTCAAGGCAGACATACTTTACTACTTAAGCTAACTATTGTTTGGTTTTAAGAAGACTTTGGGGGATATTTTTGGTTTAAGGTTTAAAAATTATCTCAGGGCAATAATTTCAGGGACTCATCCAGCCTCAATGGCTCCAGAAAGTCTGGATTCCTTGAGAATTTAAAAATCTGTTCTGTATTTTTTATCCCTTTCGGTCAAGATTGTTCTTTAAAATCTTTGATCAAAATATTCAGTAATGGTAGCCAGGGACCATCCAGTTTTTGTCTCAAGGCAAAAAAGTAATGTGGAGACAATTAGCTTTACACATTCCTTTTCCTCCTGTTCCTGACTCCCTGCCTCAGTTGCTCCAGGTGAGTAGAGACCAATTGTTGTACCTTAAATGTCCATTTGCAAGCCTTTAAGACTCCAGGCACTATGCAATGAACTAAAAGGTAGAACAAAAACAGTAGAAACAATATTTGGCCAATTAACTGGGATATCCCATGAAACCATGGCCCTAAACCTCCAAACCAAGAAAACAAATCCCATGAAGTGTTTAGTAGTATATAAGCAGCATCAGAAGCTGCTCTTCCTTTTCTGTTGTTGCTATATAAATATATATCACAGCATTTTCCATTTCAACTTTTTAAAGGTGTACAGATTAGTGACATCAATTACATTAATCAGCTGTGCAGTGAATACCCTTGATCAA